GGCGCTGCGATCAGCCTTAATATGGTATGGTCGCGGCGTGGGGCATTCGGCCACCGCGGTTGAGGTGCATTTCCCCCCACACACGCCAGTATCGACGGGGCAGGCAGAGGGAATAAGCATTGTGATGGAGGAGCATCATTAGAAAACACGCAGCGCATTTGAACTGCATAATCAGGCACCCCCGCACAGGCAGCGGAGGGACGGCCTAATTACGCTCGGGCACGCAGGCACCATTGTTAGGGGAGTTAAAGGATAAGGCTATTAGTATAAATAACCTGGAGAGCGGGGTCACGCGGGCAGCCGTGCACAAATTCCCACGGCGCACCTTTGTAATGGACGCCGCCGCATAATCTGCAATAACAAAGGCATGCGTGAGAAAGGAATTAACTTGCCGAACATCCGATTAGCATATCGAAGGCCCACGGTACGTGGGAAGGGGGTAGGGGCCTGAGTCCGGGGAATTAGGATAAAAGGGAGCGTAGCGAGGTAGAGCTCTCTCTTACTCCGAGAAGCCAGCGTCCAAGACGGCCCCCAGCTCTGCCCTCCGGACGTCCGTGCGACGTGTCGAGGCAAGCAGCGAGGAAAATCCACGGAACGTCGAGTGCCTCAAACCGGGAGTAAGGAGGTAAAAGTATTTCGTGAAAGATAAATCGGGAATAGGTATAAAGGTATCAGCGTAGGCCAGCCTCGTTGACTCACACTGATTTAACATATAGTTCCAGGTAGCAGATAATAAATCATTAATAGCGAAGCGTGGCCTCGCGTGATCTTGTCGAGCAGTGTGAGCGTGTGGGTGCGCGTGTGTGCACAGTGGTTCGCCACATGAGTGAGCGCTGCGCGGAGCTGAGCGCGCGGGTGAGCGTGTGTACGCAGTGGTTCTGTAGTGCTGCGGCTCGCCTCGGGGGAGCGCTGCGCAGAGCGGTGCGAGAGTGGGTGTCGCGTGTGTTCACCCCGTGGGTGATACAGGTGCGCGATCATAACGCGAGTATTCAGTGGTGAGTGAGTGCCGCGGGGAGCTGTGTGCGTGAGTGCGCATACGTTCGTTACGTGTCGGATACGGAGGCGCATTGGTAACATGGTTATTCGACGTGGAGGCGAGTGCCGCACAGGGCTATAGACGGGCACACGCTCGCAGTGTGCGAGAGCTGCACGTAGCGGTGTAAAGAGGGGGAGTGTGGCGTTTGATTGACGATACTGTGCGCACGTATGCTCGCAGCGTAGGAGCGCAGCGCGAGGCTGTAACAGTACGGGCGTCGCGTTCGAATGCCGGCGAAACCGTAGCGGGTAATAGGGAGGTGGAGTAACGTAAACGGAATAGGGGATGCAGGCGGGTGGGACCCCGGGGGCCAACGGCCCCCACAAGTGTGAGACTATGATAGGGTGCCACGGTGGCGAGATGTTAACAACCTCTTCTGGTATACAGGAGGTCGTGGAGTTGATCCCGACCTTGACCCCTGCTGTATATTGGATTTTGCATGTTCTCCCAGTGGTCCCGTAGATTTTTCTTCGGGTCTTCCGATGTTTCTCTCCACATTTAGAAACACGCCTTTTATAGAGTGATAAGCAACATCGTTGAGCTATAATTTGTGGCCAGGTCGCTTCTGAAAAATAGCTATATTGTTCAGTGGGCCTTTGCTGGTAAAATAAAAATGGTTTCTAGTTTTAGTTTTGTTTTATGGTAGTGGAAAGGAGGGACACACTTTAATAATGAATATAACTGAAGGGGGCGTTTGACAACCAGCTTGCCTTGGTGTGTTTGATTTAGATAAACGAAGTACTTTGGGTGTGCGGTTGTAGATCGTGCATATATCATGTTTGAGACACGCCAGTCTCTAGTGGTAGTGAGGTGTCTGCAATGGGAATTATAGCAAGCCCAATTCCTGATGTATCCACATATATGTTTCGAATGCCAATCCCGGGCTATTTGAATGTGGCTTTTGAAGGGGTGATCCAGTTCCCCCTACACTAAAACAGGTGTACTGGAATTGGTATCGGATTAATCATCGCAGTTGGGACCCTCCTGAAAATGTTTACGGGATCAGTTTCGAGGGTAAATCGCTATTACACCTGCAGTACTGATGTTTGTTGCTGGCCGTGTGGCGTTTGGGCCAGTGACGTGCGGTGAGGTCAATGGTTGGGGAAGCATTGGCTCGTGTCAGAGGCAGATTCACACACTGAGGGGGGCGTGGCCTCACGGAGGGGGCGTGGCCTCACTGACGGGGGCGTGTTAGACACGTCCCCCTCAGTGAGGCAGCTGTGATAGCTGCCTCCCCTGGTGCTTTTCATTGCAGTTTCATGACGAGACCAGCGAGCCTAAATATCTTTATACACGCACGTGAAATAAGTTACCTGGAGTATGGAAGGCGATGACATGAAATTAAGGGGTCTACAAACATTACATTGGTGACATGCTGAGATAGTAACAGGCACGCGCTTATTGCCCGAGCTCCATCCAGTCACTGAGGGGTTGTGCAATCAGAGGGGAGGCTGAGCTCGTCGCTGCCTCACCTCTCGTCTCTTCCTGTATTTGCAGCGGACCTCCGCAAATTTGCGATTTTGACTATTTAAATTATTGGAATCGTACAGAAATGACATTTATAACACAGATCAGTGGAATTTTTTAAATATTTATTTCATTTGATTAGTCTTTTCTTTTTACTTTTCATTGGAGTATGACAGGTGAGGCTCTGCCTCCCCTGCCTCCCCTGACCGCACATCCCTGGTTTGGGCCTGCGCTCAACAACCGTGATTCAAGAGCAACTCAAAAGACTTTGCTACTGCTGTACTGATTCTGCCGTGGTGTAATGGATGTCAGAGTGGACTTGCAATCCAGAAGTCGCCAGTTTTGTTCTCCCACCGTGGCAGTTGAAACAGTGGGGGCAAAAATTTGTAAACAAAACCCACTTCTGTCCACCCAGCAGTATCTATGGGTACACCTCAGTCATTCAGCTAGTCGCACGTGGTGGGGTAAAGTGTGGGTACCCTCGTCTCTTCTAAGACATATGGCCAGCGTGGAAGAGTAGGCCAAACAATATCCTCTAGAGGGAGCTCGCTAGTGAACACCCTTCCACCAGCAGGAGCGCGAGTAAGAATTTGCAGGGCTGCACCTTTACACATTTTACCACGGTTTGTTGTGCATGTGCTGCAATTTTTTGAAGTGCAAATATTATGAGCAACGATGCCAACATTTTTTCTATGCAGAATGTTGGTTAGGGCACTGAATTGCGCATTAGAAGTGGGCTGTTTCCGAATTCCGCAATACAATTCATTGCATAATGTATCGTTGAGGATTATTTCTCTCTGTTGCAGGACGCGGCCCATAGACATAGAGAAGATCACCCTGCACATGAATGATTACAGCAGCAGATTTAACTTCCATACGGGGGGGGGGGGGGGGGGGGTTACTTTACAAATAATTATAATTCGTCCAAGTCTCCAGCAAGTCACTTGAGTTTATGTCCAGGGGACGAGATCAACTAACTCCATGTCACATTCTCTTCGCAAATATTTGACCAATTTGAAAATCCACCAACACGGGTGACAGATTTGTTAAATTATCAACTCGGTGAGGTACGATTGCCAGGGCAGATGTAATGCTGGCTGAAAGTTCAGGGGAGTGACATAAGAATCACCTGCAGCACTGCGAGTCGCCTATATTTGGTCAAAGCAACTGCTGGATGATCGCCAGGGCTGTATGGGTCATGGTGGTTACTTGGCGGGGAGCTTAGACATTGGAGTATTTGCAATGTAGCCCTGCAAGCAGCTAACAACACCCATGGTCACTCTTGCAAATGAAACTATCCTGTTCTCGGTTGGTCAAACAAATAAACTTGAGCTAACCTTTATTATCAGAATGAGAAGATGTATTCATACTTGGAGGAATCCGATGAACTATAAAGCTCTTTATAGCTCATTGGGCTTGGTGATTGCCCACCCAGGCGCTATCCAGATGCAAGCTTGCTGAGGTTACGAGATGTGATGAGATTTGGGGGCGTGCCGGGTGATGTGGCCAATGGGGCCGTGGTGTTGGACGCGCTCGATGTGGCCTCTGCACGGAGCCGGTGGACAGAGAGGGCAGCGTTCACAGTAAAGGGTCCAGTGCCACTATTGACTCGCCACGACAGTTTTAAAGTCGCGTGTATCGACTCCAGAGAGAGATTAAGCGAGTCGATCCCCTCAACTGGAATGAAATATATGTTGGGGCATTAAATATGGGTGAGGAAATTAAAGTAACAAACGCAGGTGACAACAACAATTTTTTTTATTTGACCAGGTAAGGCCCACTGAGCTATATAACTCTTTTTCAGAAGCGACCTGGCCACAAGTGATAGCTCAACAACGTGGCTTATCATGCTGAAATTATAGCAGCTAAATACTCTAAACGCGTGATGTTGATTCTAAATGCGGTGGGAAAACCTGGAGGACCAGGAAAAAAATCCACTCGGCCCCTGGGAGAACACGCAAACTCCAAAATATACTGGCGTCAGAACCGGGATTTAACCCACGGCCTCCTGCATACCAGGCGAGGTAGTTAACATCTCGCCACCGCACCGTGCATCATGTTGAAACTAAGTTGAAGCACAACGGGCTTCCACCCTGGCTAAATTACAGGACAGTGGTTATGAGTAAAATTGTTACCAAAAGAAATGAATACTAAAATACGTTCCAGAGCTGATATCAGTGTGCAAAATAATAATTATACAAAAAATAATGCCTGCTAGCCTGTTGCACACATAGCGGTTATATCATCGGTCAGCCCGAAGTGCTGCAGTAGTTTCAATGGAACCTGTAACATTTTGCAGGAGTAAGCTACTTTGTGTGAATATGATTACGGTTATTTTAATCATTAAAATAACCCAGCTATGAGTGACTCAACTATTCGTGTGTTTAATGTTTACATATGGACTTTAGCACTTCCCAATCCAGTGATTTGACACATTAAATAACCCCCGTGCCACTTATGGTTTAGTTTGTGATTGCATTTTGCACCACAAGTTGTCTAGTTGCACGCAGTCCTGCATTTATGTCATCTGCTCGGCATTAGGAACCATTGCTGAATACAATCACACACAGCTGGTCTTGCACGGCTATTGAACTGACTTTGCTATTGATACGGTTGAGCATTTCGAAGAGGAATGGCAGACTTCGATAGTCTTCTGCAAGGCGTCGGGGAGTTCGGGCCCTTCCAGCACCGCGTGTTTGCGATGCTGTGTCTACCCTGCACCCTGTTTGCCTTCCAGTACCTCAACATCGTTTTCCTGGGCCAAGTCCCTGAACACCGCTGCAGGGTGCCCACCGAGACGAGACGAACGTCTTCCCGGTGCGGCGCAAGCCTCGAGGCGGCACACAGAAACCGGAGTCGCGCATCGGGCTCGGTGGAAGACCAATGGAACCTTCAGTGCATGCGCGTCAACACTACCACCTGGAGTGACTCGAATGCTCCGTGCGGGCTGTCTCCATGGGGCCAGGGAGACGAGGTGCCCAACGCGTCCTTTTCTGGTCGCCTCATTGCGTGCGACCACGGTTGGGAGTTTGACACCGAGGAGACGGGACTGACCTTAGTGTCAGAGGTAGGTACAGAGGCGCTGAACGCGCAGCGGCGGACTGTGTTTGACGGGTGCTTATTTCTCATGCAACTCTATGTCGTGCGAATTCGGCAACATAGCGGTGTGTTATTCTGTTACCTATGCGGTAATACCGCCATATGCCATTCTTGGATGAGTACGGTACGTACATTATTTCACCGAATCGGGCCGGGCTCGCCGTGGTGCGCCAAGCGTGGAAAAATCTACACCGATTTCATTCTCGATATGAAGGATGGCCAATCAATCGCTAACAACCTGACCCTGACATATAGGCATATTGCAATCCACCATTATATACGTCTGTCTTGAAAACTCGCCTCTTTAAACTGGCCTTTACTCGCTAGTTCTGGCCGTTTACCCAACTGGTTCTGTTTATGATAATTGTTTTTTTACCCTTCTATCTGGCAACAAAACTGACACCTTTTTTTACAAGGAGTCATGTTTGCATAGACCACAATACCTGCAGCCATAATGCAAACAAAAAACATAACTCTGATAATATATGCACTGTCCTTGAAGTTGATTGGTCCACACCCGAGACAGCTTTCCTTAGAGCCTAGTCTCACATGGGTTGGACCAGATGACGCCAAAAGGCGCACAACTCAAAGACAATGCACCACACTGTAAAAAATGTGACACATTGTTACTTAAAAAAATTATGGCAACAAAGTGACACGTAATATAATTGAGTAGATTTTAAGCACTACAACTTTGAATAAAAAGTGTTGAATAAATTAACTAAAAAATAATAATAAAAAATAAGTACATGGTAATAAAAGCAACAGTTAAAATGTGTTGGATTTAGTAATATGATTCCAAATGATGAGTTATATAGCCTAAAAAAATTGTGTAAATCCAAATAGATTTTACAAGGAAAAGTGATTTATATTTACTTAATATCTGAGCAATGGTAATTTAGATTTACTAAATATCTGGTGGAATCTGATTAATATTTATTAATGATCTGGGTGAAATAGATTTACATTTACTAATTGTCTGGGTGAAATTGATATAAGCTTACTAAATATCTGGATCAAAATGATTTGGATTTACTAAATAAAATACTTATATTGAATGTCTGTTGCCATAACTTTTCTATTTCTAATCCACCCAATATCATGCCTTCGTGGTGCCACAATTCACTTACGTTAAGTCAACCGATCACCATGAAAAAGATAAGAACCATGAAAAGGAACAGCAGGTTAACATTTATTCGTGCAATTTTGTCTCAACATGTTTATCCAACATATTACAAGTACAAAACAAAGACAGAAATCATGTATGTGTACAATAGGGATACAATACTGGAGGTATTTATAATTTGTGGGCATTACAGGCACAGATTACTTTTTTGGATGTGATTCAAGTTTTAGTCTTTTTAGCACATTTAAATTACGACAATGTTTTAAAAAAAATCTGTAAAAAAACTTTATATTATTTCTTTTTTATATGCGCAAATTGAAATCCTAAGGACCAATATGTTTTTCAAACAGCTAAAAGATATTAAAACATCACGTGAATTGACTTGCATTCCCTGTACTTATACTAGTAGCCATAATCCACAATCCGGGTGGACCTATCTTTTTTAACATGCATAATTACAGTACAAGCATGGCTTTCTAACAAGTAAACTAGCACAGCCTACAGATGTTCTATGCATCTTACATCTATTCCTTTAGAACAAACACTTGCAATGGCCTAGATCAGCGTCACATCAGAAGAAAGCACAATGTTAGAACACCCAAGAAACATTAAACAAAAATAAAGATAGCTTTCAATAACAAATCAGTGCATTCTCTGATAGTCTATCAGATGTATAGGCCTATAACGCAGAACTTTGACAGTCAGACTCAGTTATTAACTCGTTAAGCTCAGTCAAACTGAAGTACTTCTTCTTGGTGAAAATCTGAAAACACAATGCTAGTTCCCTTGGGACTATGCCTTCCAAAAGGTCATGTAGTACATCTGGTGGGTACCCAGACTCAAAATGAAAGTGATTTAATTTATCAGTCAATGGACACGACCGCTTTACGCCAAAGCAATGAGTAACATTTGGATTTTCTCTCAGTTTGCACATGCAAACTATGTTCCTTCTTTGTCCGAGGTGGAAACACTCCGGTCCGCACTTCGTGTGTCTGGTACTCTGAAGTATGTCCAAGACAAAATCTACAGATGTACGGCCCCGTGAAACATTCAACTAGTCCACTGATAGAATGTGCATTGAGATTGTCAGCTACAACACAATGTACTGTCCCTTTAGTGTTTTTTCCAACACTGGAAATGAAAATCCCTTCCTGTTCTAGAATGACAAGATCCTTCAAGAGTGGTTCCAAAACTGCTCTGTATTCAAACTGTTTGACATCAACAGCTTTGCAAAGTAAAGCTAGGTGTATTGACGTTAATGCAGATTGAAACTTTGTTGGAACATTTGCCAAAACCCAATAAACAGCTGTTATTTTGTGTTTTTTTTCTCGAAGTTCCTAGTGGGTTACACAATTCAAAGTCGTCAACGTAAAGGATTATAGACAGTCTTGTTTCTTCCCCAGCATAAAATACATTTTGCTTGAAGGATTTTCCATCAAAAATTGACTTAATATATCCAGTACTATTTGATTTTCTGGATAAAATTATTTCTGCAATGTCTTCATTCTTCAAGACTTCCTGCAAAGTCTGGAGAATAGGCACATATTTAAAGGTCTTGTTCTTTTCAGTATCAATAATATATTCAATGCTATCAACACACTGGAAATGCACCTTAAAATACTTTCTTCTCTTAAAAGCCGAACCAAGTGGACCACCTGCTCCAAGTGCTGTACTAATGGGATGGAAGTTGCACAACTGCTGACAATTCAGTTACGATAGCCTGGTCAACAATGCATTTATTCACCTTCAATGTTGAATCTAGTATGTTCCTAACAACTGCAACTGATACTGAAGATGAAATGAACTGAAGGTCTTCAACCAAGGCATCAATGCACTTCACTGAGGCATTATAGATGGTTTCTAGCTTCAGCAAAAGTAAGCCAATTCTTTGAAGAACTAAGTATGATGCACTTTCCTGATCACAATCTAAACTAGTGCCCTCACCATCATTGGCCTCTGGTAAATCAGAATGGTCAACAGTCTGATTATGGCGACTCTCATACACATCTTTCTTAAAATCACTCAAAGAATAGGATTTGTGTCTTTTGCTTTTGTTTTTTAGAAATGTATTGTATATATTTGTCTGAAAGCTGCATCCTTCAAATACACAAAAGAGAGTTTCGTGGCTCTTCAGATGATTTCCAATATGCTGAAAGTAGTCCTTCTCTATAGAACAACAAGCATTGCAAACTAAACACTTAAAAGCAGAGATGTTTCCTGACCGTAGACTTTCTTCATCTGAATGGTATCTGGACAAATGTGTGCGAAGGGCACTCTGCGTTTTAAATGTGCAAGGGCAACTGTCATATAGGCATGGCTGGGATTGGCCACGACCAAATATTGCGTGATGTCTGTAATGCTTTAGTAGATTTCCTTTTGTGGCAGACAAAGACTTGCAGATCTTACACTTCCATTCCATAAGCAAAAACCTGAGGCAGAAAAAGGTCCATGTATCAGATGCAAGGCCACCAAGTCTCTAATCACATGAGGACAATAGAATCGCATTTACAAGATAATTCTTTATTATTTTTAATATTCAAATTTTCATGCTCAAATTTAGCACATCAACTTCTTGTCACTCACATCATCTAGCTAGCTAGCAACTACACAACAAGCTAACCACAACGTAGAGGTGACGCTGACTGGTGGCAAGCAAGCTAACGTTAGCATACTGTACGTACATCAACACCAAGATATAATATACTGGAGGTGTAACGGCAGGTACAGGACTTTTGGTTCGGTACACGCTGTGATCCGAATGAATATAGTCTAGTTTTAATCACGCACGTTACTTTTTCGTGTGCGGAACAAAAATTATAGTCTCGTGCTTTTAGTCGAATCAGACTGACTTCCAAAGGCCTAACGTTGTGCTAGTTAATTCTGATATACGTTACAGCCAGTTAAATTGGCATGCTGGTAACATGCAGTAACATAAAACAATGTTCAACTGCTACCACACCTTTGTTAAAAAATTGTTCGCTAAAATAATAAAACATGTCTTACCTTTGGGAGAACGGCGGTCTCTGAAACGTGTCTGTTGAAGAAGATGGTTGACTTGCACGTGGCGCGAAAAAATGCCTCGAGTTTGGGCGGGAGTGTAACGTTATCAAATTCAAAAACCTCCCAGGTAGTAAAATTAATCAATTTTTGGCATTTTTGACTTTCCTGATAAAATACAATTAAATTCTACTCAGTTATTGATGGCTGATTTTATTTGAACAAAACTGAGTAAAATACAATTAATAAATAATAGAAATGTGTTGAATTCAGCTCAATGTGATTCTAAACTACACATAGTCATTATTTTTATGTTTAGGCTACTCCTATATATTTACTAAACATTAATTAACCCCAGTCTCGGTTTTTACAGTGCATCAGTGTGCGCGCACACAGCGTACAGTGGGAGCAAATGAGGACACAGGGCGCTGATTGGCTGGTCGTTGTTGTTGTCCCAAAGGAGGTGACGTGATGTCTGAGGATGGTAGCAGGTGGCAGAGAGTAATTAAGGGTGCAGGGCGCTGATTGGCCAAGAGGGTGTTGTTGTCGGAGAATGGCGCCGCAGTGTCTGGAAAAACATGCCACGTGGCAGGAGGGGCTGGGAGCGATTGGCGTCACGAGGGATGCCCCTGATTAATTGGGAATTAATTGGCTCGGGGATAAAGACAGGGGTTTTCGGAGGAGACGGGAGTTCACGCCTGGGAGGAGACAGAGAATGGAGAGTCGGAGGAGCAGAGTGAGTAACAGTATAGGGTAGCAGTGGAGAAGCGTAAGGTAGCAGTGGAGAAGCGTAGGGTAACAGTGGAGAAGTGTAGAGTAACAGTGAGACGACGAAGCAGTAGGAAGCGGCTGGAGTGTGGGAAGAGAAGCTGATGTAGTTACGACGGAGTGGGACGGCGGAGCTGATAAAGAGCAGCCAAACTGTGGCGGAGAGAGTGGAGAGGAGAGTCGACGGAGGAGTGAAGGGGAGCGAGTGAGGCCGGTGGAACGCAGCGAGCGAGTGGAGAGCGTGGAGGAGAACTGTGGATCGGTGTTAGCGGGAGGAATGTTGAGCGATGTTGGATGGAGGAGTGTTGAGCGAAATACGTGAAATAAAGTAACGAGGAAAGACAAGAAGCTGTCGTGTCGGTTCGAGCACTACACATGTACGTTGAACTTATTTTGCACCGTACATAGCCAACCGTGATAATCGGAGGTACGGGGGAAAGACAACAAACTAAACACGAAAAGCAGTTCTAAAGAATTGATTTTCAGTCTAGATGATTTAAAAGTGCATAGGTCCAGTGGCTTCCTAATATCAGAAGGTAGAGAGCATTCCACACGACCGCAGACGCGCATCTGAAAGTGCTCGATGCAGTGCCCGTCTTTGTTTGATGGCTAGCCAAAAGTTGCGAGGATGACCGGAGTTCGAGTGATGGTATAAATTGTTGCGCCACAGTTAGTCGATTGGCATGTCGTGTGTGATGTGATCAAATGTGAGTACTCCCATTTCCTCCAAGACATCTGGCCAGTGTAGAAGAGGAGACCAAAATACCTTCCAGGGGGACTTTCTAGAGCTCCATCTCGCGAAGACCCTTCTGCCGGCAGCGGCGTGAATTGGTAATTGCAGGACAAAGCTTCTGCTTTTTATGCACGCAGGAGGAAATGTCTTTTTTTCGTTGCCCTTCATTTCCAAAGCTCAATGCCGAGTAGATTCCAGGATCCGATGCGATCAGGCGCATTCCGTTACATGCGCTCTGGTAAAATGTCCCACCCCGGCTCAGACACGCCATGAATTAATGAATAAAGTCCACAAATTCCACTTGGGTAAAGTTCGTAATTGGGCCTTGCCTACTACCCATCTGAGCAACTAGAATTGGACTACAGTTGGATCGCTGATACGAAGAAAGGCATATAAACATGAACACCACATGATGTGGGGAATCCTCTACCAAGCAGGTAAGGCAAGTGTACTGTTTGGTATCAGTGATTGAAGACGGATATATGCAGGTACTAATAAGCGGTTTTACTATTTGTAATGGAAGACCATCGATTGATTATTGGGATTCTTGTTTGTGGTCGGATTGCAAAGTATGCTGCCAACTATATGCTTTCTGTCTTTTGAGGAGGGCATTGATCTCGAATGAAATTACGGCTACGATAATGAATTTCCACAGGCTTTTACACTCTGCTGTGTTTTTAAGTTATGGTCCCACAAAAACAGACATATCTTCATTTAATGCTGCATATTTTCCCCCCATTTGTATTGTCGAGCTGTCCGATGTTGTTTTCGTCTTGAACCGCAATGTTCTTCGGCACGATATCCGACGTTTCACTCCACGTGCCCGGAGCTCAAGTTCCTGAGGAAAAACGCATCGGAGAGATATCTTCGTTTGTTTAGCAAACATGTACATGAGTAAATTAGGTGTAGATGTGGCGTAAAAACACGTTAAGTTAAAGCATTGCACTAATATAATTATGTGTACCCCACCACACACCTGCACGTGGTCACATACATGTGGTCACATACATGTGGTCACATACATGTAGTCACATACATGTGGTCACATACATGTGGTCACATACCTGTAGTCACATACCTGTAGTCACATACCTGTAGTCACATACCTGTAGTCACATACCTGTAGTCACATACATGTATACGTGCTCAGCATCACTGCAAATGTTTTCAATTGCGTTTACTTGTTTTCTTGACTTCACATTCACCACAGGAAATAAAACATCTTGCATCCACTTTAATGAAGTAGTACAAGTCGCTCACGCACGCTGTGTCCTCCCCCTCCGATGTCTGGGTGTGCAGTTTGACTTGGTGTGCGAGAACGCCTGGCTGCTGGATCTATCTCAGGCTCTCCTCAATGTAGGACTCTTGGTGGGAGCCATCCTCATGGGTTACGTTTCCGACAGGTGAATTGGCACGCAGGCGTTTGGAGGCCCTCGTCCAGCAGTGGACTGAGCAAAGAACTGTAACATGTGTATGCGCAGCAGGCGAACATGTAGAGCAATGACCCCCTACTGAGTGTGCGGTAAATATATTTTGTATACACACAGTGACGTCGTGAATATGCCACTTGCGGGTTCGGCATAAGCGTGTTCATTTGCACCCTCCGCCACAGGTATGGGCGCCGATGGAGCTTGATGGTGTCTATCTTGATGCAGACCATCTTCGGAGTTCTGGTTGCCTTTGCCCCCAACTACGCCGCCTTTGTGTGCATGCGGACTCTGCAAGGGATCTTCAACATGGGCAGCTGGACTACCGTCTTTGTGATCGGTACCTTGTCCTTGCTCATTCTTAACGCCATTTTTTTCATAACTTTTTTAATATTCTCATTCTTTAAAAATATATATTTTTACAAGGTCCATTGGATGACAATGTTTCTAATCGGTAAATCACCTTGCTCATTCTTCTGGACACGGCTAACCGTGTGATATTTCAACAATGGGCTTCGCAGTCAATGCTACTTACGACCTGTAACTTGGGGCAGGATGTTTATTTTTGGAATTGCACCACGCGTCGGACAACATACAAAAAAACTGGATGCTTTCCTCGTGATTAAAACAATATATTTGTTATAATGCCATTCTAGTATGTTTGAAAACACAATCGTAAATCTCCATGTGAAATCCTTGAAAGATTACTTTCAATATTCAACATGTAAGAACAGGGGTTCAATCAAATGGCAGAAAGTACAAGCTAAAATGTCACGCATTACTATCTTCTAAATGTAAGTTTAACACGTAGGCTTTCGCGACCAATATCCATAATAGGTTTTTTTTTATTAGATCGCGTTCTGTTTACGTGACAACCCTTACTAGTTGGCTGTGTTGGGTGGTGGCGGGTTTTAATGACACTTTTATATATTTACGCGATCATACCCAAAGAAAAAACATGTATTCAAAATGTAATTTAAAAAAAACGATTGTGTGAAGTGGACTCAAGGAACATTGAAAAAAACTCTTAACCATGCCTAAAACAGAGAAAAATATAACTTGAAACCTGTAAAAAAAAAGCGTGACACTCGGCCTCTCGGTCCACGTGGTGCATTCGTCTGTCTGTCACAGGTCCCAACTGGGACTGACTGCGGACCGGGTCCAGATATATCATAGGGGAGACCACAGTGCGTGCGTGCCGGGTGGTGTATGGACTGCACTGAGGCCCGGCTGGCCATGTTGGTTAGGGATGCAAATTGATTGCACCTGAAAGCAAATTTATAACGGCGTGGGGGGGGGTAATGGGCGAGTCTGGGGATGGATGGTGAGTGAGAGTTGATGTGGCGGGGGGAGCGGGGGAGGGGCGAGCTTCTCTCAGACCCCCACCTGACACACGTGGTGCTCGACATCATCATCATCAATACCATGGGTACCTGGTTCCTTCTGGCCAGAATGAGCCTTTAAGTGACTCTACATATTTGCTGCTAAATATCTTCTGGATCGTTGAATACCGCAAGTCAATTATCATACTCCCCGTTCCTGTTAATACCCCTGCCCCACATGTGAGAACCAAACTTGGTTTTAAAGTAGTCCGTGTTGTGAGCCCCTAATCTTTGGAATGACCTAGCCAAAATGTTTGGGATTTAAAAAAACCTTCCCATCCTTGTCCTACCTCCAATCACTTGATGCACATGTGTAGGAGAATTGTATCGCTCTGTTTTGCAGACTTTTCAGTTATACATTCTTCTTCTTCTATGAGATGCGTTCCATAAACATCGTATTTGTTGTGCTGAGTGTAGCATGTTCATGCACTACATTGGCCATTTGGAATTTGACCATGTAAAGTTGATTTTGGATTGTTTTGTTAGTGTGTGTTTTTACGTTCCGTAACGAGGTGTCTTCGTTGTAACGTGGTCCCCATCGAACACGCACATCGATTGCCCAATGGGTTTTATCTGTGCCAAAACAAAACCTAAATAAATATGACTCGAGTAAGTGCTGAGACTGACCTACTCACTCACAGATAGACAAATTAAGCTTCTAATAATGCAGATACATTCGCCTGATGTCGTTTTTCCCCCCACGTTCCATCTCCCCGGCTTTGCCCATGCCTCGTGTGCATGTAGCTACCGAGTTTGTGGGCTCAGGCCAGCGCAGGGTGGTGCACATGGTGCTGCAGATGTTCTTCAGCTTTGGAGTCATCATACTGTCTGGTATCGCTTACTGCTTACGCACGTGGCGCTACCTGCAACTGGCTCTCACGCTGCCAAACGTCGTCCTCTTTTCCTACTACTGGTACAGCGGTGACTATAATATTGTATTGCGGGCACACCAAAATCTGCACAATATGCAGTACTCCCTGCAGTGTTCATTGTCTCAAAGCAAAGGAAAAATACATAAAAAAATACCACTCAAGATGTGCAGCATTATACATACGGGAAAAAAGTTAAACTTTAAACCCAATCAGATGGTGTCTACAATTACAGTGCATGCACATAGCCGGAGTTGGTGATCTGTAAAAAACAAAACAAATATGACGGTATGGGCTCCTTAAACTTCATGGTGGCAAAGTAATACAGAAGCATGATCACTGTAGCATAATCAAGCCACTATATATATTTCAGGGACACTAAGACAGATAGTGATATTGTCTGCAATCTCACAGAGTAGAAGACGTCCCACTCAGCACTCTTGAGTATGAGCATCTGATTTAAAGAACATATCCAGTTTGCTGTCGTAAATAATGAAGAGTACACAATTGTGCAACTACACACATGTTCCCTGCAGGTTGCTGCCAGAGTCACCACGATGGCTTATTTCCCAGAATCGGAAAGAGCAGGCTTTTGGTGTTTTAAAGAAGATATCGAATGTGAATGGACGGGAGTTATCTGACAACATTCGAAAGGTATACCTTGTGAGGCTTCACAGGCATACAAAATGCTTTTCCGCTACATTCCCACAAAATTACCTTCGATTTGTTGACTCTAATATGTTTTGCTTTTACTGTCTTATTGCAAATACTGTATGCAGCTGGGCCTTAGGTAAAAGGTAAATATGTAGCCCTGCAAATACTCAATTATGCCACTGCTAGAGGGAAATCTAGAGAGTCCACTCGAGGGAATTTGGCCTCCTCTTCCACGCTGACCAGACGTCACGTGTGACCTGCGAATCAAGCAACTATGGTGAACCCTAATCCTACTGAGTGGACAGAGGTGGTGGGGAAGAAGTGGCGGGTGGGGGGGGATTTCGGAAATGTTACTCATTGTTTCAACTGCCGTGCCGGGAGATTGATCCCGCGACCTGGATTTGAAGTCGAATGTTATAGCCATTTCACCAGAACAGCATCACTGGGCCTTGGGACGACACCAGTCGCGTCACTTGGTGTAGGAGCAGGGGGTGCCTTGGCACCCCCCTGGTGGCCAAAGCTACGAGTTGGGGCCCCCTTGACATCCACCATGAGATATGTTTTCAACAACAGCGTAAAAGAACAATAAGTTAATTAAAACGCGATTTACATTTTTTTTTATGAAAACGCTTTCATTAACGTTCCGTATTTTATTTTACCTTACTTATGGCAGTAGTGTTCGGCTTACGCAAATTGCGCAAATCAAGTATTGAGGCCCCATCTGACCGATTGCTGCACCCCCTGAGCTGATAATGTAGTTACTACGCCACTGGACGACGCGAATGTTAAATCCTAATAATACTTTAGCTGTGAGAGTATTGCGAAGCCGATGCTCACGAATGTGAAAACATAGTTCGTAATTTTGTTTTGCATTGCTTAGAACTTTGAGGAGGTGACAAAAGCCGATGAAAAGGCTGGCAGCCCATCAATTGCAGACTTGATGAGGTCCCCAAAGATTCGCAAGTACACGGTGGTACTGATGATTTACTGGTAGGTGCTTTCTCTATGGCCTCCTGCTACACTCTCAGGATACAAAAACACATGAATTACACTTTCCTCTCGAGTACCTTACATTTTTATTTCATGTCTACTTTAATGCGTTTTTCTTCCACTTTATATCATATATTTGCTTTCCTACTTCATCAAACTGTTAATTATAGTTTTCTCTGAATGTGCTTCTTTCCTCTTGGTAAAACCATCTCGAGGCTAAATATTGATGATGTCATCCCATGATGATGACATTTCACATCCTCCCTTTTCTGTTCATGTTCTTGTCTCATCGGTGTTTTATTCCTGGATGCGCTCGCAATGTTTTCAACTGAAAGCACAAACAGCTGACAGATCTGGAGACCCTGCACTGGCTTTCATCTTACTGACAACTACTCTACAGCATTCCTTCAGCTAACTGTGACAAACAACCTAGACATCTGACTTGTTTCTAAATAAATAAAGCTAACGACATACAAAGTGTATTTTAACATATTATATACTGCATACATTTAATAAACGAGTGGTCATACGGTGCCGTGGATAGTGCACTGTGCTATGAACCTTATTCAAACCTAAATTTGAATCCTGGCACATGGCTAATATCAATGCTGAGTGATGTTTTAACCATTCCTGGGCCACTCATTTAACATTCCACAGGGACCAATGTGGCGAAGCACAGTCAAACAACCCCCGCGACGGACACGGCATGGGGAAGCCTTCATCCAGCAGCGGATAGACAATGGCTGCTGATGATGGTGATCTTGATCGATAATTATCTCTGATGTGTTTTCGTGCCGTAACGCATGTTGCTCGGCATGTCTGACATTTCGCTCCACTGAATCGTGAATTAAGTTCCTGAAGAAGCCACTGGCATGTGGAGCGAAACGTCGGACATCGTTCCGTAACAACACGCAGTACAAGCCGACAGCGCGTCGCTAAAGTTATTCTGACACAACTGCAGAAAACCGACATGAATGATCTTGTCTGTCACGTGTAGGTTCGTGGTTGGTGTTGTGTACCAGGGGCTGGCGATGAGCACGGGGAATATCGGTGATAACGTCTACCTGGCCTTCCTCATGGGCGGGCTGGCTGAGATTCCCGGAGCCCTGATGGTGATCGCGCTCATCGATCGAGTCGGGAGGCGTCTCCCCATGTGCGTGGCCCCTGGGCTCTCGGGTCTCGCCTGCCTCGCCACTGCTCTCGTCCCCCATGGTAAGCGGTGCGGGACACGCCAGCGTCTTATTCGGTGGCGTGCTGCCACTGGTGGGTGCCGTCGGTGTCCGGGCATCCAGAACTTTCTTAGATATGACCAAGACAACCACAAAATATTTGGCAAAATCACGTTTTTTTCTATCCCTTGAACAAGGTGACAAAAATACGATAATGCCGAAGACAGAACCTTTAAAAAACAGAAGTGCATAAACAGCACACTCACACGGATATGTGGGCGAATTAAACCCATCTGTAACGTAACCAATAACCGCTGGGAAGCATTCACTTGGTAGGGCACACCCAACCTTCCAAGGAGTGTCTGTACCCCTTACCTCATTACATGGAAATCATTCAAGGTTCAGTCGGAATTCAGTGGGGGGGAATGCGAATTTTATTTTATCGGGTTAACACGAGGAACCTAGCAGCAGTGTTCCGTATGTCTCCTGGTGTTAGTGGCTATAAATTAAGGGAGTCTTCAGAGTAGATCAGTAGAGGCATGACCATTAACTCCCTTACTTTTGATTCAAAGAATTGTCGCATTTCATGGTCAACATTCGATACAAGAATACATTTTTAAACATTGTGATGAATTTGGCTACTACTCGTAATTTCAGCTCTCGTGTGAACATATTACATGCAACATATGTGAATAAAACACGTTGATTCCTGCTCGCTTCCTTGCATATATGATGAGCGGGGGAAAAAAATCTACATCTATCAGAGGATCATTGCTTAGATACAACTCGATTATAAAGGTAACAGGTGCATCGGGGAAGGTGGGAATGACAAAATTCACTAGACTTTCTAGAGTGGTTGGTTTGTGGCGTTGACACACAGTGTGTCTGTATCAATTAACTTAAAACTTACAACACTTAATAAAGTATGACCTGTTGCAGATATTGAGTGGCTGAATATCACTCTGGTGACACTGGGCCGCCTTGGACTGACCATGGCCTATGAGATGGTGACCCTGGTTAACAACGAGCTCTATCCGACACACCTCAGGTAAGCAGACGTGAGTCACGTGTGGGCTCGTGAACAATATACCATGCAAATTGTTTAAGTTCTACTGATGAGATGTCTCCCCTCTGATTTCTAATTTCCAGATCTACCAATTTGCACACATGCACTACATCTCGTGGTAAAATGAAACACTGCGTTCATGGGGTTTGGGTCGATTGATGGAGAAAATGTAGCCTTGGCGGAGCGACAACTTATTTTGTGAGAGCCACAGGATTTAACTTGTAACATTCTGTGGTGAGCGCGTATTCATTTAAAAAAATCATAAATAAAAACAAATGTAATAATAATGATGTTGTGCTTAATTGTGGAGAAAGCATTTTTGCGTAATACTGTTTATATTTGCATCTTATCACATCCCAACTCTCACTTATGACAAGTAAATCGACCTGTGTATGAAGTAGGCTAATGTGAACAGCTCATCAATCTGTATCGTTTGAATACTTCAAAGGATGCATTTCCCACCAATGTCAAGACATCCCAACAAAAGAGTAGATTTCTGACAACGGAGTCCCATCTTTGATCAGCCGGAGCTGGTAACGTGATTGGCCCTTCTGCAGATTACCTGGCAGCCAATCACAGGTGAAATGCGCATCTCATGCACAAGCGCCGGTGACACGGATGACGTTAGGGCGAGCGCCGCATGTTATTGGCCGTGGCAGCAATGCATTTGAAATAAAACCATAAATACGCCCAGCAACTTGGCATTACAGAAGAAAACGAGGCAATTGTAATAAACCTAATTGTTTAGGTTCTACTGAAGACAATCTATCCTTAAATAATTGACATTCTTAAAAAAAATAACAATATCTTATTGTTCTATCTACCTGATTCTTTTGCTATTTCCTATCGAACAATAAGCCATACAATCTCAACACGGCAATTCTCTCATTCTCAGCACTGCACATTGTAACGATCTCATGCACTCTCCTCACACTTCCTCACTAAACCCCGAAAAAAAACTCCTCACTCTCACCTTCAGCCCCTTTTGGTATCCTCCACATTCATAACCAACAAACCTAAATATACACTTAGAAATATCCTATACACCTATAAATATCCTATCAATGCCTGTTGGCCACTATTGGGTCACCATATTTGTCTGCTAGTCACATTTAAGTAAGCACATATGTCGGGCTGAAAACAACTCTCAACTGCCACCATAGCACTAGACTGAATTAAACAGAAAATAATGCAATTAACGTGAAATAAGGTCGAAAGGTCAAGTACCAAAGAAAATTGTTCACAATACAACTATGAAAACTGGTGGGCACATCTTAATAATTTAGAAATGGTCCGTTACTTCTGAGGCTTGCATCGAGCTCAAATACCACTCGTGCTGCATGTGTACTATATTGACCAGTACTATACTAACCAGTACTCACGATACTCAACACCGTTGTCTCGTTTGCAGGAACATGGCCATGTCCACTTGTTCATCACTGTCTGGTATCGGTGGAATAGTCGCTCCGTTTGTCCTCTACCGTCTTTACACCATTTGGAGGCATCTACCCATGGTTATTTTTGGTACGAAATACACGCACATTAGCAACAATCAACTTGTCAGTAACATACACTTAATTAATAAAGACAGAATCTCAAAATTCCATATTAGGCTTAAAATTGGACGTGCGTCAGTAAAAAGTGAAGATGGAACCGTGGATGTTCTGGAATCGCTTGCGTACGCGTCATCGTGAATTATGTACTTCTGGTGTTAAGGCGTTATCACACCGATGGAACAAATGAGTACGTATAAAAGGGGAATACCTAAAAACGTACAATAAGTTACATTAACTTCAACGGTTTCGAAAACGAAAATAAGGTCAACCTTGAGTAAGCTTTGTAATTAGCTGGTTGTGAGTGACTGATGTTGAAAGAGGGCTACAAAGCTGACATTTGATTTTGGGCCCCATAAATTTGACATTAAAAAGAATGTGCAACTTTTACACTTTTTACCTCGGCTGACTGAATTTTGCACCTGGAGCTCAATCTACAGGATAGGTTTGCAAAGCCAGAGTGATAATTATGGGTTAATAACATTTTATGAGCCTTTAAATGGTTTAAAAAAAGACATTTATACCGACACGCACTAGTTTCGAGAGGTTTTGAAGGGTGTTGATTTCAAATATATAATACTTTTCTTGATAATTACATTTTTCGGGTACTTGAGCTGACTGAAAGGGGCATTCAACTTTTATCGCACTTGAGGATATCCAGAAACTAGTTTTACTGCAGTTCGGGTTTCTTTACGTCATTCCGAGAAAGAGTACAGCACTTCCATGTACATTCAGTCACAGATGTACAAGGCAGAATGAATGTGTGCACTCTGTAGGAATCCTTGCGATTATTGGCGGGTCCGTGATTCTGCTCTTGCCAGAAACAAACGGTCTTCCTCTACCAGAAACCACCGAGGATGCAGAAAACATTTCCAAGTATGTTGATTTGATGATGCCGGCAGCGTTTATTGGATACAATTGACCACAAACATTTTTCGATTTCACTCAAAAAAAGAAAGTGCACGTGAAATTTAATCGAATTTACGTTTGAAAAGTATGCCAATGTGTACACAGTAGCTGCAATAAAAAAAAATACATTGAGCTATTTTAGACATGGAATGATATAATAACTCACTAATTATTGCACGTGGAGGTAATTTCTGTCAAATAATTAATATTCGTTTTCGAGTTAAAGACAAACAGTGTATCTGTCAAAGACTCGCGTTCAGTCACGCTAGTTTTGCACTCACAACAATTGGTTAAACCGAAAATTATTTGATTACTCGATTGTAACTTCTTTCCCAAACACGTGCCGTTAATATAAAAAAAGACTTGAATATTTTTTTAATTAATATCATACAACTATGCTGTAATTATATGATAGCCAGTATATAGTGAACCGTACTGTAAAACAATAGCAAGTGCTGTGTTGCAGTGCACTCTCTCATACAAGAATCAGCATATTTTAAGAATCGGAATATGTATTCATACTGGAGGTATCCGATGAGCTGTAAAGATATTTTTTCATAGATGTCCAGTAGAACGTGCCTGGGAAGGAAGAGCTGTAATTGAACAATAACAGCGGCAACATTCACTTTCGCACAGGAAACAGAAAATGCTGCGGTCCCGCAAGCTCAATACCAAGAACCCCTTGAGAAATGGAGATTCTCAGGCCGATGGAAATGTGACTGCCACTGAGCTCGAGTTTATAAATGTGACGCAATGAGTGTGCACGATGCCGCGTGCAAACAAAACTACCATGCGTATTAGGATGCCTCGGCTCATTCAGTATTTACGTGTTGTTTCACAATCAAAATTCGGCCATGCTACAGTAATACGCGTACGTTAGTTGTTGCGTTGAGGCAAATATTTGCAACTCTTTGATTATTAACGCAAGATTATTACGATACAATTGCAGAAAGTTTAAAATCACAAAGATATGTTTTACATGAAACCATTTGTTTGGAAGGGCTTTTGAAAACGCAAACAGGGTACTTCTAAATGGATTCTTAATTCTTAATTTTTAAGCGGTGCAAGAAGAGTCGAAATAGATGGTGGGTTATGTTCTCATTCACTTAAAAATGTAGTGCATTTAATAAAAAAAATATATATTTTATATCACTGTTGCTATCATCTCAAGGAAATCCATCGTATCATCTAACAATGCATTGCTGACAATGTTAACCGCTACACTATAGGGCAGCATATAACGCCCATGATTGAAGGCTACAGTATAAATACATTTTTTCATTTTTATATTTAAAGGAGAAATGTCACTCCAGAAATAGTGTAATCTCTCCATAATTGTCGACAGATTACAAAAGTTGACATAATTTTTAATATTTCATTTTGGGACATTGCCGTGACTACGTTGGGAATCCTGCATGCCTTGTAAACTTTAATATACTGGAATTTAGTGTGATTGTTTTTTTCTGAATTTATAAAACTACAATACGTAGTGTGTATGTTCCTGTATTGGGGAAATAGTGGCATGGATTTGGAGGCCACAGCTTATGAAATAAATCACCATGACGCCAGACTGGGCAGCTTCTTTAAATTCTAAACATTCCGAATGAATTCCAGAGCTATTAAAGAACAATACAAAAACACCATTGGCATTCTGAGAAGGAGGTGGTGTTTTTCAACGCTCATAACATCGAAGGCGCTTGAGGGTTCTTAAAAGTGTGTTGTTAATCATTATTTAAATGTGTAACGCGCCCAGTATTCTCTCACTCTCGAATAGAGAGACGACTCAGAGGCACGAATTGTCCAAGCTCTGCAGTGATCTGCATATAAAGATAGTTTCAGCCAATTAACGAGTGACTATGCACTTGAGGGAGCAATACTCTCTCATACAGATGGAAATTATTTCAAACGTTGGTCTACTACCACCTCCCACGGGGAGTTTCACGTTTGTGTGATCCACCAATGCTCGCTGTCTCCGCGGTGCTGGGTTTCAGGTGTGCTCCACCACAGCCAGACTCGCACACAGACTCGTACTGCTGTGACACACTGATGGTTCCCAGCCTCACGCCAGAGATGTGCAGTGCAGATCCCCCCCTCCCCAACAGACAATAGCCCAGTGTTCTTCACTAATTTGCAGAGGGGTGCCACTATCGACGATAAGACATCATCAGTGTGAGGGCCGCCACACATTTGAAACCATTGGGGTTTGACAGCACGATGGTGATGATGGGGGGTGTTTTCACTCTTTGTGTTTTGTCGGGGACCGCACGTCAGGGGCCGCACTAAAGGCCACCAGGGGCCAGCAGTGACCCGCGGGCCTTGCAATGAAGAACACTGCAATAGATGATCTACCTAAAAAAAATATCAATTGATTCAGGTGCTTTCCAGCTTGTTTTCCCAGTGGCTGGACACTGAACGTGTGTTTTGCTCAAACTATTAAATGTAAACAAGACCAATCACACTCGCACGACATTCCATTTAAATCTGGCACGCTTAATTTGTTTTGTTAATTGCAGGGGCGGTTTCTTCATTAGGGCGATTGGGCGACGCACCACCAATGTCATTGAACCACAGAGTCACGCTAGCCGTCACTGTCAGCCTCTGGATATAGTCCAATCAGCGTCATGTCACGTTCTGTGGAGTACCGCCTCTTTTTGGGCGATTTCACTCCGGCTGAGAATCGCCCCGAGTGGCCCCATAGACTTACATTCAAAGATGTTTTTTTTCGAACGGCGGGCGCTCCAATGCATTCTCTATGGCTTCCGGGAGGGCTCGCACTAACGTGCTTACGTCATCATACGTAAGCACGTTTCATCCAACAATATAATTTATCGCTACCTAGTGGAATCTTTAATAAAATAAACTTGAGTGGTTTGTTTTAATAGTGAGTATAGATCTTCTTGGTTCTTTCGGTAAAGTCACGTAGAAGGGAAGTAATAAAATAATAAAAATAAAACATAATAAAACAATTCTCACGACGTTTCGGCCACAACGCAAGCAGCCGTCCTCAGGTGAAGAATGAGACAATGCCAAGCTAGGAGCTTATATATAAGCTGCGTTGGAGGTGGAAGAAAGAGCGCCTTAACAAAATAATGTGCATATGAAGAGGAATTTAGCATATACATGGAAAATGCGTAGGAGGTGGGCGGGGGGGTTTCAAAGTCATATTATGCCCATGCATTATGCAGGATCAACAGCACCAAGGCGGGGTGTAGGGATTAGCAGTAACAAAGGAAAGGAATGTTAATGATATGTAGCTGCAGTTACTCAACAACCACGTAGAAAACTAAAGTATAAACTACATAAAAAACTAAAGTATAAATTGCATAGCACCATCAGTATACTTACTATACTCTACACTAAGCTGAGTTACTAACAGCAAGTAATACATTACAATTCTACGTCATAAAAATTGTATAATATGCTTCCATCTAAACTTTATTCTATTGTATCACACGAGCATATACCGTACTATATACTGCCAACATTAAATTATATACTGTATTGCTGTAAACCAACCTATACCTTATACATTTAATATAACACTATGTATTATTCTACCCACCCTAATGTGTGTCGAAATGGTTTATTACGTCCTTCCAATGATTGCTAAGCCAGAATCCATCTTCTCGGTTAAAATTGTCTCTGTGTTTGTATATGTGGATCGCCTCATGAACGAATCTCTCATGATAGCCAGATGGCTTGCAGATAACCTCTGTCTTGGAGAAGTCAATATCATGTGAGCCCACTGAGTTGTAACAGTGATCTGCCACGGCTGAGGTGTTTGTCCTACCGTGTTTCAGGTCAGCTTTATGTTCACGGATGCGGTCCGAGACATGTCGTTTGGTTTCCCCAATGTAACTGCTACCACAGAGGCAACTTAGTTTGTAGACGCCAGGGTACTGTATGTCTGGAACCACATCTTTTACAGAAGGTACCAGATCACGGATTTTATGTACTGTGTTGAATCGGACCTGGATCTTGTGTTTAATCAGGATTTTGGAGATCTTTTTTGTGACCCCAGCAATGTAGGGTAAGGTGATGGTCTTGAAAGGCTCCTCAACAGGATCCTTCTTGATGGTTGGAGTGATGGCTTTGCGGATTGTGTAGTCGGAGTAACCATTAGCCTTAAGAGCTTGGCGTACGTGTTTGAGTTCACTGGAAATGTGTTCATGGTCGGAGATGCATTGGGCTCTATGATATAGAGTCTTGATGAGGGAATTCTTCTGGGATGGATGGTGGTGGGAATCCGGTTTTAGATAAGCATCCGTGTGGGTGGCTTTCCTGTAGACAGAGTGGCTCATTGAGCCATCAGGTCTCCTTTTGATTAGGACATCCAAAAAGGGTAGCTTGCCATCATTTTCGACTTCCATGGTGAATCTGATGGCTGGGTGTATGGAATTGATGTGGTCGAGAAATTGGTCTAGAGCAGGCCGACCATGTGGCCAGATGACAAAAGTGTCGTCTACGTACCTCTTCCATAAGGTCGGGCGTAGAGTGGCAGTCTGGATGGCGTCCGTCTCAAATTTCTCCATGAAGATGTTGGCTACAACCGGAGATAGGGGGGAGCCCATTGGGGTGCCCTCAATTTGCTTGTAGAAGGTTCCATTCCAGGTGAAGTATGTATTGGTTAAGCAGTGTCTCACCAGGGGGGGTACCCCAGCATTCAGTCCTTGATGAACCAAGTCTTCAATGATTGCGATGGTGTCAGGCACAGGCACCTTGGTGAACAAGGAAACCACATCAAAACTGACAAGCAGGTCGTCTGGGGACAGGGCAATCCCCTTGATTGTCGATACCAGGTCAGTAGAGTTTAGTACTGCAGAGGTGGTTTTTCCAGTGAAAGGCCGTAGGATTTCGGACAAAAAACGAGCCAGTTTGTAAGTGGGGGAGTTGATAGTAGAGACAATGGGACGAAGAGGTGTATCTTCTTTATGTATCTTTGGCAAGCCGTACAATCTTGGTGGCCTGGCTGCAGAAGGTTTCAACGAGAACTGTTTGGTCTGATCAATTAATGCGGTTGAAGCAGAAATTATGTTGTTGGTTTTGGAGACGAGGCTGTTGGTGGGGTCTCTTTTTATTTTTGTATAGCTGCCATCGTTTAGTAGTTCTTGAATTTTGTTGTTGTATTCTATTTTGTCCATGATGACAGTGGCATTGCCTTTGTCGGCTGAGAGGATGACAATGTCATCCCTCTTTTTTAATTGAGCTAATTCAAAACGCTCATCTTTGCTGATGTTGCTAGCTGGCATCTTAGCGTTTTTGAGGGATGCTTATCTAAAACCGGATTCCCACCACCATCCATCCCAGAAGAATTCCCTCATCAAGACTCTATATCATAGAGCCCAATGCATCTCCGACCATGAACACATTTCCAGTGAACTCAAACACGTACGCCAAGCTCTTAAGGCTAATGGTTACTCCGACTACACAATCCGCAAAGCCATCACTCCAACCATCAAGAAGGATCCTGTTGAGGAGCCTTTCAAGACCATCACCTTACCCTACATTGCTGGGGTCACAAAAAAGATCTCCAAAATCCTGATTAAACACAAGATCCAGGTCCGATTCAACACAGTACATAAAATCCGTGATCTGGTACCTTCTGTAAAAGATGTGGTTCCAGACATACAGTACCCTGGCGTCTACAAACTAAGTTGCCTCTGTGGTAGCAGTTACATTGGGGAAACCAAACGACATGTCTCGGACCGCATCCGTGAACATAAAGCTGACCTGAAACACGGTAGGACAAACACCTCAGCCGTGGCAGATCACTGTTACAACTCAGTGGGCTCACATGATATTGACTTCTCCAAGACAGAGGTTCTCTGCAAGCCATCTGGCTATCATGAGAGATTCGTTCATGAGGCGATCCACATATACAAACACAGAGACAATTTTAACCGAGAAGATGGATTCTGGCTTAGCAATCATTGGAAGGACGTAATAAACCATTTCGACACACATTAGGGTGGGTAGAATAATACATAGTGTTATATTAAATGTATAAGGTATAGGTTGGTTTACAGCAATACAGTATATAATTTAATGTTGGCAGTATATAGTACGGTATATGCTCGTGTGATACAATAGAATAAAGTTTAGATGGAAGCATATTATACAATTTTTATGACGTAGAATTGTAATGTATTACTTGCTGTTAGTAACTCAGCTTAGTGTAGAGTATAGTAAGTATACTGATGGTGCTATGCAATTTATACTTTAGTTTTTTATGTAGTTTATATTTTAGTTTTCTACGTGGTTGTTGAGTAACTGCAGCTACATATCATTAACATTCCTTTCCTTTGTTACTGCTAATCCCTGCACCCCCCCTTGGTGCTGTTGATCCTGCATAATGCATGGGCATAATATTACTTTGAAACCCCCCCGCCCACCTCCTACGCATTTTCCATGTATATGCTAAATTCCTCTTCATATGCACATTCTTTTGTTAAGGCGCTCTTTCTTCCACCTCCAACGCAGCTTATATATAAGCTCCTAGCTTGGCATTGTCTCATTCTTCACCTGAG